GACCTCGCTCGAACAGTCGATCTTTGATAGCGAAGGCACTTATCCTGAGTCCCAGTTCGAGCGAGGTCGAACTGTCGATCTTTGATGGCGAAGGCATTTAGCCTGAGTCCTAGTTCGAGCGAGGTCAAACTGTCGAGTTTCGATGGTGATGGCACTTAGCCTAGGTCCCAGTTCGAGCGAGGTCGAATTGTCGCTCTTTGATGGCGAACCCACTTAGCCTGAGCCCCAGTTCGAGCGATATCGAACTATCGATCTTTGATAGCAAAGGCACTAAGCCTGAGTCCTAGTTCGAGCGAGGTCGAACTGTCGATCTTTGATGGCGAAGGCATTTAGCCTGAGTCCTAGTTCGAGCGAGGTCGAACTGTCGATCTTTGTTGGAGAAGGCACTTAGCCTGAGTCCCAGTTCGAGCGAGGTCGAACTGTCGATCTTTGATGGCGAAGGCACTTAGCCTGAGTCCTAGTTCGAGCGAGGTCAAACTGTCGATCTTTGATGGCGAAGGCACAGTCTGAGTCCTAGTTCGAGCGAGGTCGAACTGTCGATCTTTGATGGCGAAGGCACTTAGCCTGAGTCCCAGTTCGAGCGAGGTCGAACTGTCGATCTTTGATGGCGAAGGCACTTAGCCTGAGTCCCAGTTCGAGCGAGGTCGAACTGTCAAACTTTAATGGCGAAGGCACTTAGCCTGAGTCCCAGTTCGAGCGAGGTCGAACTGTAATACTTTGATGGCGAAGGCACTTAGCCTGAGTCTCGGTTCGAGCGAGGTCGAACTGTAATACCTTGATGGCGAAGGCACTTATCCTGAGTCTCGGTTCGAGCGAGGTCGAACAGTAATACTTTAATGGCGAAGGCACTTAGCCTGAGTCCCAGTTTGAGCGAGGTCGAACTGTAATACTTTGATGGCGAAGGCACTTACCCTGAATCCCAGTTTGAGCGAGGTCGAACTGTCAAACTTTAATGACGAAGGCACTTAGCTCGAGTTCCAGTTCGAGCGAGGTCGAACTGTCAAACTTTAATGGCGAAGGCCCTTAGCCTGAGTCCCAGTTCGAGCGAGGTCGAACTGTCAAACTTTAATGGCGAAGGCACTTAGCCTGAGTCCCAGTTCGAGCGAGGTCGAACTGTCGAACTTTAATGGCGAANGATTCCCCTTATGTGATGAAAGTTTCTGGTCGTGGGTTTCGTTACGAACCTTTCGAGAGGATAGCTCATCTTGGTTTGAGCGAGATTGAACCTGTCGCTCCTTGAGAGTATTCAGTCAGCCTGAATCTTCAGTTCGAGCGAGGTCGAACTGTCGAGCTCTGATGGCGAAGGTACTTAGCCTGAGTCCCAGTTCGAGCGAGGTCGACCTGTCGAGCTTTGATGGTGAAGGCACTTAGCCTGAGTCCCAGTTCTAGAAGGGTCGAACTGTCAAACTTTAATGGCGAAGGCACAGTCTGAGTCCTAGTTCGAGCGAGGTCGAACTGTCGAGCTTTGATGGCGAAGGCACTTAGCCTGAGTCCCAGTTCGAGCGAGGGCGAACTGTCAATCTTTGATGGCGAAGGCACTTAGCCTGAGTCCCAGTTCGAGCGAGGTCGAACTGTCGATCTTTGATGGCGAAGGCACTTAGCCTGAGTCCCAGTTCGAGCGAGGTCGAACTGTCGAGCTTTGATGGCGAA